GCTTATAAAGAAATTTTGTGCCAAACTATATTTATATCACAAATCTTTTAGAAAAGAACTTAAAATGTATAATATAATAGTACATGAGATTCTAACCAAGTTTATAAAGAATATGATTTTAAGTTTAGTCATGCTTATCACTACTTCTAAATTATTTGAGGCCATCAAAGAAATAAAAAGAAAAAAAGTTCTAAAACTTAATTAAATTTTTATATAATTATTTAAAATATTTTGAAGACATATCAAAAGTATTACATAATTATGGTTGATTTTATATATATATATATATATATATATATATATATATATATATATAGATATAATAGACTTTTTTAATATGTATAGTAAGAAGAAATGTTATACTTTTTTACAAAAGAAATAAAGTTCTTTTTAGGCAATTGACATCCTATAATACTTTTCTATTCTATATATAATATGTTTTCTAATTTTCTATAAAAAAATACTCAAATAAGTCCTTATAGAAATAATTAGTCCAAATTAGACTATTTTCTTGTCTTTGCTACATGTACATATACTCAATAATATGTTAGTAGTTCAAAAAGCAATCAATTAATCTAAGAACTTTAATCAACCTTTATTACTTATAAATAAAAAAATTATAAAATTTCTATTAGAATATTTTAGAAGTATTTATTTATTATTATTAAAAAATAAAATTCCAATAAAAACTACTATTAATATTAATAGCTATCAAGGTATTCTTTTTCACCTAGAAGCAATAATTCAAAATTTTACATGGAGTAGCATATAAAAACTCACATGTAAAATAACTACTTAAAATATTTATTGCACATATTTTTTTAATAAATATATAGAAATTATAGATTAAAAAAAGCCATAATGACCTTTCTTTGTAAATAGATAATAAAAGTCATATACCTAAGAAAATATTATATTTAATATTTTATTAAAAAATAGTTAATAAAACTATTTTCAGAGCCAAAACTACCTAATAGTCTAACTATCAATGGATACTAATTTTAAATCATAAGTGGCCACCAAATTCTAAGAAATTAAAAAAAAAAAACTTATGATAGAACATAGAATTGCCAATCATCAGATCTATTATTCATCCTAAAAAAAAATCATATTTCTACATAGCAAAAAGATGCAACAACTAAAAAAAATTATAACTATAATTTGTAAAGATCTTTTATTAAAAAAGGAGCCAAAATCAAAATTCAACGTCTATGTAGAAGCTATTCCATGTTGAGAACATATTGTAACCTTCTACTTAAAGTATCAATAAAAATTAGTCAAGGAAATTTCAAATCCAAAATCAAAAGATTAAATAAGATTATATAAATCAAAAGATGATACTAACCTAATACTAGTTTCCTAACTATAAAATCTACTACAAAGCATTGAAGAAGCTGGATGGTTTGCAATCCTAATTCTTTTTGCAACTCTAATCTATAAATTTGGTGCTAAGTCAAGAATTTTGTTTTTTGGATGCCAATTTCTTTTCAAAGCTTGCACAAAGAAGGAAAAATATAGGCAAAAGATATAGCATTATAGTAGAAGGATTTGCAAAAGTGTTAAGAATTGCCAAAGTCTTAAAATCCAAAAAAAAGAAGTGAAGATACATGTATGTTGATTTGTGACTTAATATTTAAATTTTTCTTTAATCCACTTTTACATTCATGAAATATAAGCTCAAACTTAATGACTTAGTAAAATTTGGTAAACAACCTTTCAAAAAAGATAAACATCTAAAAGATCTATTAGCCAAAAAATAAAAAATATTTTAGAAATAAAATTTTAATTTAATTAAAAACACAATTGACTTAAAATAAAGGTCCAAAAAAAACAAACAAACAAATAAACAAAAAAAAAAAAAAAAAAAAAAAAAAAAACAATATTAATATTCTTTGGGCACAAAAGTTTAGTACTCAATATGTAGCAAGCTAAAGAAAGTAACGAGACTTTTCTCTATTATTTATTTTGCATCCTTAGAATAGATAAGATAATTTTATACAAACTTTGAGACTACAACTAGATACATAGAATATAGGATTAGACTACTTTCTTAATATAGGATTAGACTACTTTCTTGATATTCAAGCTAAATTTACATACTAGTAGATATGGACCTTGGAAAGCCTTCACTTGGTAGCAAGCAATATTTGCCACTAAATCAATTCTTAAAATTCAAAAGATTTAGAGTCTTATAGAAAAAAATTACAAAACATTTGCCTTTAGATGATATGGATCCAAAAAAATGCTTGAACATTTGTATAGAAGTAGTGGGTTGATTCTAAGATAAGACAAATTATATTATCCAACTTCCAAGAATATAGACATATGACCTAAAACGCCACAAGCAAGAACATCTCTATGAAAACAAAAGTCATCCTAAAAAAAGAGATAAAAGAGGGAATGAAAATTCATTGGAATACTAGATATCCTTCCAGCAACCTCATCATCCATACGATAAGTGAGAATCAAGAAGGTGGGATTACGAAGCATTCTAACATACTTACCCCAAAGAATTAAGGCCTAGGCAGTCTTCATCAATTAATTTATACTATTCATATACCCCAATTGCTGTGTCAGAAAGAAAGGAAGTAAAGTCTAGGTTACTAAAAAAAAACAAAAGGGAACACAATAGTTATTTGTAATTTGCCGTTTACCCTTCGTCTCGGAAGGCTGGGTCCATTTCTATCCACATTCCGCAACCGTAAGCCGAATCTGAGCCTTCATCAAATGCTCCAGCTAAATAAACAACATCGCAAATTCCGGACACTTTGCAGGCATTGCAATGTCACAACCGCAGTTTGGAGCTGAATGAACTCCACAAAGGCAAAACCGCTTTGGTCAAACCCTTCTCCACAACACACGATTTCTGCATTCAGCCAAGCAGAAAGAGCTTCTAACGCAGAATCCGCAAAAGCCAACCTGTGCATTGGGGGTCATGTGCATTGCAAGCGGCTTTGCATTGACAAACAGAACCCCGCTCATGTTCTGGAATTGCTTGGGTATTAGCATGGTCACAGCCAAGCTTTACAATCCAAGTTGACCCAAACTTCTAACCTTGACCAAATTGACAAGATCCAACAAAAGTTTCACAATCTAGCTCAAAAGTACCTGCAGCCAGAAGACATCCATTTCCGTTATCTTGATCACCATCCGCGCCCGCTTACAACGATCTTTTAAGCCGACAAAGGAAGAAACGTGGCAGTGCTATTTCATGTGAAATGAACATCCACAGCTAAAACCGCAAAATTCAATGCACTTGAAACGTCGCAGTTCGAGCAGTCATTCCAGCTGGAAGCATATCCACCTTACGCCGACTTCCAGCAAGCAAACCCTCGCGGGGATCTCGAGAATGTGGTCAAAAGTAACTGAAACGAGTAAACGAACATGGGATGCATGACTTAAGAGTGGCAAGTGAGGCTGGGTGTGAAGTATAAAACTTTATGAGCGTGATCGTAGCAGCAGCTCCGAATATAGATTCGACCACGCGCTTGATTGAATTATTCTCGAAAATCGCAATCAGGAGATTACCCAGCCCTGCACTGCAACGCTCGTCCATCCACATCGGTAATTTGCATAATTCTGGATCACTCAAAAAGGAAAGAAGGCCAAATCAAGAGAGACGGAAGGTGGATATTACAAAAATAAAATATTCTTTTCTTAGGAAACTAATACATCTTTCTACAATAAATGTGTGAGTATATATATATATATATATATATATATAGATATTTGTGTGTGTGTTTTGTGTATTTTCTCTCTGCTTTAGTATACAATTAACCTGAAAAATTAATTTAGTTGAAAACTTTAATCTGTTAAACATTAACGATTCCACTGGGTTTTGATGACTAAAGACGGTATATGTTGTCAAAAACAGCGGCAGCTGAAAAGAACCCAGCTCGTATACATCCCCCAGCCACCAATTAAATTTTCAAGATTCATCTCTGACAGATTCGCGTACACGTAGCTGTCATTAAAATTCACGAAAAGAAGTGAGAAGCATCCAACTCAGCAAAGACGCGGAATCTCAAAAGCGGCGACCACACATTGAGAATGCTATTGGACTTATGACTACATCAGAAAAATGGAGGTACATCAACACATTTTATGTCATCGCAGTCAAGCCTACCAGACCTTGATCCTCCTCGATAGCAGTGAGAAACGTGCTATGTTCGGCTCAGGAAGACGAGCATTACCGCTGCCACTGTAGGTGCAGTATCCACCATTCCACGGCCCTTTGGATTTTGGTGACTTAAGGTCCGATCCCGGCCAGCTTTGGCGTCATAGCATGACGCACTGGATTCGCTGCATTCGTGCTGCCAAATCGAGGAACAATCTTAGTAAAACGAGGATTATCTACCCATTCATGCAGCTCCTTGAATCATCGAAAAGTAGTACCATCATCAACGTTCGCGTAGTGTCCGGTTGTAATCTCTGCTAGAACTCCGCATCCGACTCAATGTCTTTGTGCATTGTGTTAGTGCCCCAAGTGTTCGAAAATTGCGATGTATGGTCTTCCGGGGGGTCCTGCTGTTTCCGTCGTGTGGAGCTCTGGATTGCAGCAGGATGTTCCTTCACACTGTCAGACGGACTGTACCTCAAGATACGAAGCATGCAAAAAGCTCTCCAATGTTCTAGTGACGCGCCATCGGCGCCTCACGTGATTCGGACAGTAACCGGACGTTCGTGCTCGTGGTTGTCCGACGACATGCAGTGCAACATTGCGTCCAACCAGTCGAAAATGGATGAGTCTGAGAGCACCCCACCTGAACTTCGTGGGTTACTCAACGGCATTCCATCGCACAGGTTGCATTCTCCAACACCATCCGATGCGCGAAGCGAGAATGGACGACAGTTCCACTGTGAAGCGTGCGGTCGAATGGCACCCACAACCTCCATCGAGACATCAGCAAGAACCCTCACATTACGTCAACCGTAGCCCAGATAGAACCCTAACATTACATCGGCAGTACAGGGTAGTGCGAGCTGAAAGTGCTTCCATAGATGGCAAGTGGCAGCACTCTTGGTGCAATCAATTGTGTATGTACCCCTTAAGGTTGAAAACATGGTACACGGCATTCCTTCACGCCAGAGGTGCTTCGCACTACCAGCCTGGTCGGGAATCCTAAAGAATGTAGCAAGGCTTGAATCGTGCCTCAATAAAAGAGAATAGAAAGAAAAACAAAATATAACAAAATAAACCAAGTATTGTGATAGTTCTCAGTAGCAGAGGAGGATGATGATGATGCAGATGAACTTCAATCTCTAGTGCAATTTACAATCTCCTGCTGTGCGGTGCCTCAACCGAAGCCAACACCGGCACCCAATTCCACGGCTTCATGCGCCACACGTCCGTTCCTTGTGCGTGCGGTGACCACAGGCTCGCACCACCTCTGTTCAACAAAGATCCTCCACGCGCAATCTCTTCGTTGCATCCGTGCCAGAGCCCAACCCCACCCTCTTCTTCGGAACGAACGTGCCCGCCATCTCCACAGCTGGATACCGCGCCGTGTAGCTCAGACCCAGGCTCTGTCGCCCTGTAGATGAACCTGCCGAGCCTTGAGCGAACTTGCGCGTCGAGGATGACACAGGCGGCGCAGGAAAAGACTCCGGATCGGATAAAGCCGTCGTTGCCCTCAGGGGGAAGTTCAAGAGTGCGCGCGAGCCTCGCAACTTGAGTGCTGCCCTGTCGTATGCCAATCCCGCCAGCTCGGCCGTGTCGAAAGTTCCCAGCCACACTCGGGCGCCATTCTTTGCTGGATCTCGGATCTCGGCTGCGAATTTTCCCCACGGCCTGTGCCTCACTCCTCTGTAGTGCGGCTGCCACGCTGTTTGCTGCTTCGCGCCCTTCCTCTGCACCGTCATCTTCTCGTGCTGTGAGGGTGGGGAGACCTTAAACCCTACTTCGCCAGCGGATTCCTTCGCATCCGCGCCGGCGGATTTGGGCTGTGAAGCGGGCTCCTCCAGCAAATCGAACAGCGACGACATATCGTCGCCGATGCTTCCGTCCAGTGGAGGTAGTGCCTCGTCGACCTCTGAGAACTGCGCAGCAATGGACTCCGACCCTTGGAACTGCACTCGTTTGGATCCCGATGGACTCGAAACCGTGCGAACTACGGCCACATTGACGGTATCTCCAACTACGGCTGTTCGCGTCTGCACTTTCCCAGGTATGTCTAGCGCCAGCAGCGGCTTCAGACTCCTGCATGGCCTTGACTTCGTGCTCTTCATTGCGTTAACCGACCCCAACGTCGAGTATTCGGCCACGTTGAGCGTGTTCACGAACGCTCCCACTGTCTCACGCATCTGCTCTGCCAAGTTGGTCCCCAGCGCCTTCTTCAGGCTCTGAGACACCGATGTCGCCCAGCTCAGTCCACTGCTCGGCTCACGCGCGTTGCTAGCTTTCCAGCTCCCCTCCGCGACCAGCAAACTTTCGCCAGTGCTACCATTATCGCTGGAGTGGTGCTCGAAGTCGAACTGCGAGTCCAATTTCGGAGACTCCATCAAACTCAGGTAATCCAAGGCGAAACCAGCGTTCGGAGTAGGGAGACAGTCAGGAACCGCAAACTGGAATGGGCTCTCGGGAGCGCGCATCGCCTCCGGCCCAGGCTCAATCACGCCATCGTCGTCCAATTGCGCGCAGTGTCTCGCGGTATCCACATGTGTCCTTCTCGCCCGCTCCGCATCCTCGTACCACAACCCCCCGACCTGCGCACCACGCCACTGGCTTGCATGAACTGCAGCACTCATGTTCTGAAACCCACGTTATCGATGAACTTCACGCTGTTTCTGCCTCACTCGACACCCTATCACTACGCCACTCCGATCTGAATTGGTCACTGCTGGAACAAATCCCTCCTGAATCGCATCACAACTTTCTTACGCATTCCCTACGACTGGATGCATAAATACTTCCGTCGGCCAGGCTGCTGATGCAAGGATCGACTCGAAGCAGTCACGAATGTGCGGAGAGATTGACTGAGACGGTCCCCACAGATCTAGTGCGCTTCCAGGCGCTGACTGTAGGAAACACAACCATCATCACAATCATTAAATCCTGAGCTTCGCGCGAAGCCCTCACACCTGACACGCACGAAAGGCGCAGCCGCATCTCTGCAGTGTAATGATAAGAGAGTGTGTTTGGCAATCAAGTTCAAAAAGATAGATTTGGACACGCTTTCACATTGATTTTCATGTTTTTCAGGACTGAGACAGCGAAGAATTTTAGGATCTGGATTTTTTGAGTTGGGTGAATTGTAAGTTACTGTAGGCATTTAAAAGATCTTAGGACTTAATGAAGATTACAACAAATTTATTTTATTAGCAACGTTTGCAGTTTTGAACTATAGAAATGGATGGAAAATTGAAACCTAAATAACCTATATTATGTAAAAATTAATTACTAAATAAATGAATAATTTTTTTATTAGTTTTTATAAATAAAATATTAGATATCAATTTTATATACATATTAATAATAGAATCAAAGAGTAAAAAGTCTTATCAATAATTATATACAATAATTATTATACATCATTTCATATAAAAGATAGTAACAAATAGAATAAGCAAAATTAGCAACCATATTAGAAAATTTAAAACACATAGTTTAAGAAAAGATCTTAATAAAATAGAATTAAGTACTAAGCAATTATTAAGAATTCTAGATAATTTTATCATATTGCAAAGACATTGCAAAATCTGCAAAAAAATAAAGATATGAGTTAATTAAAACCAAAACATTAGAATGTTAAGAATTAACCATAATCATAACAAGATATTTTTTCAACTCAAATTTATGCTTTTATTTTTAAAAAGCCAAAAAAATATATATATAAAAATACAAAAAAGATAACAAATAAAAAAATTCAAGTCTTATTATAGTTGCAAATTTTTTGGTTTTTAAGATTAATTATTTAAATTTTAAATAAAAGAAGATTCCAACTATAGAGCATATATACCACAAAAATAACTATGTATAAAAGCATGAAATCTATAATACTATATTCTAGTGTTATGATGGATTAGGTTATTTCAATCTTAATAAAACAATTATTCAAACTAGGAATTTAAAGTTACTTATATCAAGATGTCACATGCATAGATGATTAGCTAGATAAGAAGTGTTTGGTAGAAGGTAAATATTAATAGGTTTGATAATATCTTATAGACAAGCTTCATGAACACAGATTTGGCTTTACATGTATGTATAGGTAATTGATAGGTTGGAAATTTGGCCAACAAGTTGGCCATGCATCATACATGTTGGCAACTTGTGATATAAGTTAGACATGTGGCACATATGTAGGAAACTTGTGTTGCAAGTTAGACACGTATTGGAGGTTCTATAGAACATCGTCATGTAGCTTTTAGTTAGACAATATATGTAGAGGCACAAATGAAGCCTTCTTTATTCTTGTCAATGCCTTTTTTCTTCTAAGTCTTGTTATAAGTGTATCTAGTATTCTTGTCTTTGGCTATAACCATTCTAATCATAATATTATACCATCTTTGAGTGAATATCTGTTCATTTCTAATGACATAAGAATGTATTGGCCCTTTGGTTCTTTTTTATTTATGTCCTTTATAGAAGATACTAAACCAATATAATCCAATAGCACTTACCTATATAAGAATATTGCACATATATAATCTCTTAACACTCACTTATATTGATATAATAAATCCATATAAATCTACAATACTTGTATATGACAAGATAATGTACCAATTCAATATTGTGACATCTATAAAATTCTAATATTATAATAGATCTATCATTAGTGGAAGAAAAAAAACCTATAAATATTTAAAATTATTTTAATTTATATTTTTAATATTTTACTAAGTACCACCTTTAAGTAATGCATAGTTTATTAAGGATTGAAATAATTTTTTTAATCTATAGCATTAGTTTTATTAGAGCCAAAAAATACAACATTGTACTACAATAAATAGTCTTTTTTAACAAAACATTATTTTTTAATACCACATTATCATACAAAATCAATATATAATTTTTATTATTAAATTAGAATCTTGATGCAACCTATATTAGAACAAATTGCTAAAGTACAAAATATGTAGTTAGAGTTGAGAGTTCTTATTGAAGAGTTAAGAAGGTAAAATCTATATAAAATACAAGTCTCTCATTTCTTCAAATTTCTTTAAACAAAACTATGTAATTTTATTATGTAATATTAGAGATTTAAATGATACACAAAGAATCTATAAACAAAGATATAATATTTAAATAAAATTTAATCTAAATTAAATATTTAAAAACCAAAATTTTCTAATATATTGAAATAAATAAATTAATTATAAAATTTAATAAAATACATAAAAATCAATTATCTACTTAGAAATTCCTTGTAGTAATTATAATTTTTATTTTTTAAAAAATACATAATAAAATATATACTATTTATGTAATATTTAGTCACCTTTAACTATTAAATTTGGTAATAAAAAGATATTAGAACTAATACTCTTTTATGGACCTTAAGAAATTAAAATCAAAGATTAGATTAGAATTTACTTTGAAAATATTTTAAATAAATCTTAAAGTATTTTAAGTTTGATTAGGTAAAGAAGGTAGAATTGATGGTCATTTATTCAAAAAAGAAAAAAAAAAAAAAAAAAAAAGAGACATTCTTCAATGCATATATATATATATATATATATATATATAACCAATGAATCAACCTTTATTTTGAAAATAAATTCCAATTAGTATCTTTTAAAGAAGCTCAAATTAATTAAAGAGGCTCAAATAAAGTCAATGTATGACATGCAACACAAGGTTGTAAAATGGCAAGATATATATATATATATATATATATATATGTGTGTGTGTGTGTCCCTAGAAAATTCTTCTAATATTATTTGTATCTCTGGACAAATTGATCTTTGACTCCAAAGATCAATAATGAATTGGAGATCAATCTCCAAAAGAATACAATTAAAAAAAGTCTTGAACTTTTACAAAATTACATAATTTCTACTCCTATCCAACGTGCTAAATGGCATGGTATTCTACAGTGAGACTTTCACATGCAATGCAACATTATGTGGGACAAGAGTAGAAAAGAAAAATAAATAAAAATAAATCATACCTCATATGTTTCATGCATTATAAGAGAATTGCTGTGAATGTATGTGATTATATGGAGAAAAATAATTTGCAAAAACACTAATTTCCCTGACTATCATAATTCGGCCAGTTTCCACATCAAGCACTGCAGCACCTTGATACCCCACCGCGGCGTTCCGACTGGCGTTGCAATGCAAGGCTTGACATCTCTCCGGATCACGAGTCCCAAAACTGTTCACTCAAGGGGGCCCTCGAAATGAAAATTGAAGCTTCTGCCATCCTCAAATCATATGTCCTGGTTCTTTTCCTTCTCCTCCCAGTTACCTGTGAGCACCATCTCGACACCACCCCTGCGAGATTGCTGTCTGGAAGTCGGCGTTGGTGGATTTGCATCCAGCTGGAAAGGCTACTGAAACTGCGACGTTGAACAGCTGTAACGATGCCAATGCCCTTGCACCTCCAGAACATGAGCGGGGTTGTGAATGTCAATGGAAAGCCGCTTGCGATGCGCTTGACCTCCGATGCACGGTTGGACTTTTGCGGTGCTGCGTCAATGACTCTTTCTGCTTGGCTATATGTAGCAATCGTGTGTTGTGGAGAAGGGATTGACCAAAGCGGGTTTGACTTGTGCAGTTCATTCAGCTTCAAACCATGGATGTGACATCGCATTGTCTAGACAGTGTCTGGACTTGGTGATGATGTCTATCAGGTTGGGTTTTGAATGATGCTTGCGATTGCCCAATGTGGATGGAAATGAAGGTTAAACGGCAGGTTAGAGACAACTATTGTGTTCCTATTTTATAGTAACCAATGCTTTGAATCTAATTTAGTGCATTAGAAGTGACGCATAAAATGACTGATGTGAATGATTTAGGATTTAGGATTTTGTGATTTGTTATCGGCTCACTTTCCGTAAATGTGTAATGCGCAACGAGCAAATTGTCTAAGCTTCAACCTTGACTTTAAACCTAAAAGAATCCAACCTTAAAGCCGGAAGTCTTCCAGTGTTCGCGCAAAATCTTTTATGGACATTGTGGATGTCGAAGGTGGAACATACTGGTACCATCAAATGTCTACTGGAAGCCACATGTGTCCGATGCAAGAGGCATACCACAGTTATTGCAGTGTGGGCCATGCATGAATCTCAGCTTGTAAGTAAGCAATAGCCACATGTTACTTGATTGCGTTGAAGCCGCAAATTTTTTCCAACAGGGAAGAGGTTATTGACTCAGAAGAGAGTCCACCCCAAGGTGTCCTCTTACTGTGACTAATTTGATATCTTCGACTCCAGTCTCTTCTTGTTTTGAGACCCAATTGCGCAAACGACTACCATGTGAAAATCCTGACCAAGGTATTACCAGTACAGGTGCAACCAATGTTTAAATGTCGAAGACGTATTATTCGTGCATTCATTGCAGGGTCCTGTGTACAGTGTAGATAGAACTCTTGAATACTTATCCAGTATTAAAGAGTCAAGCTGTAGTATCCACTGAGTTATTCAAGTTTACAGAAGTTTATGCAGACACCGAAAAGTAAAAGACGGACATGACAAACCAAACATAGCGGAAGGGCGTGAAATCAACAAGCTCAGCATGAAGCAGAGGCGCATCACGACAGGTGCTGCGCCGGGAATGATGTACGCGCTCAATCAACAGTCATTGTCGGGATACTTACGTGAACTTGGCACTGCAGGTTAGTTTGTTCTGCATGCACGTTGTCCATAGCCATCCTCTTTCTTAACATGACAATCTAGCTACTCTCGCGAATATCATAATCTGGACAACTTCTTTCCTCGTTTCTGGGTTCTTGAAATACATATTTCCTTATAAATACTATTTTCGTAGTTTCATTCGTATGGCTGCAATAAAATTCTATCAATAAGAATAAAGTGAAAATGACCATAACAATAAAATTAAGAAACTCAACGCCAGCATTTGCTACATTCTTGTGTATGTGACATAAGAA